GCACAGCGCTGATTCCTGCTTGCCATCGCTACTCAAAAAAGACGACGACAACGACGACGACACATCATCTGCCCTGCCCCCCCACCTTACATCTATTACCCCTGCGTCATCTGCCCTCCCCTCCACCTTACCTCAATGACCCCCGGCGTGTCTTACTCCACCCCCCACCCTACCTCTCGTCTCACCTCCATGACCCTTGCATCCCCCAATCCCCCCCACCTTCCCTCTATGCGTCGCCTGCCCCCCTCACCTCTATGACCCCCGCGGTCGGACTCGTGGCCATGATCTCGTAAGGGTCTAGCCGAGCGCCAAGCTTGGCCGCCTTGAAGATCTGGTCGAACACCGCCACCAAGTGCCCCACGAACTGCTCCTGCCTCAGGTCGTCGTTCGCCTTAAATTAGCACCACCACCCGACGGGAAAAAAGAGTCCAGTTCACCAGACGACAACACGGTGAGAACACATATGGACTACATACAACCGTACACAACGGCAACGGCGGCGGCGGTAGTGATTGCTGCCGGTACCCGGTGTAGTGCCGGGTGGAATCCCGTGACACAGATGGAATATTTAGTTATTTCATACCGTAAGTAAGGCCCCGTGCCCGGAATGAAATGCGAGATGGAATATTTAGTTATTTCATACCGTAAGCAAGGCCCCGTGCCCGGAATGAAATGCGGGATAAACCGGCGTGGAACATACCGGCACTACATCGGGACCACCGCTGTAATTTCGACGTCCACTGGAGTTCGCATTTGAGAGGTTTACGGCAATAAAGTGGTCAAACATGGGTGTGTGTGTGTTTTGCATACGGCATTCGCTTGACACGATGTTGGCGCGTTCTCAAAAACAGAAAAAAAGTTGCAGAAAAAAAACACACGCCTTCATACCTTGACAATGATCGGAAGAAGCTTCCACCCCCTCGAAGGCACAGCACCCCCGCTCCCGCCGCCGCCGCCGCCGCCACCGCCGCCGTCGTCATAATCGCACCTCGAAGAGCGCGCCCTGAACCCCCCGCGGAACCCGCCGTGGCCGCCGGCCGCCCCCCTCTCCCTCCAGACGCGGGCCTCCTTCTCCCTCCACCGCTCCTTGAAGATGATCCTAGGCTGCTGCTGCTGCTGCTGCTTCTGCTGCCCGTGCGTGTCCGCGCACCCCCCCGCCGCCACCTCGCCTTCCGCGGCCAGACGCCGACGCCGCCCCCCCCTTTTCCTGGGTGCCACCGCCGCCCCTGAACCCGGGGCTGAAAAGTAGTGCCTGCCCGCCGGGCGCTTGGCGCTGCTGCAGCCGCCGCTCCCGTTGGCAAAGGGGGCGTCGGCCCCGCCGCCGCCGCCGCCGCCTCTTGACAGCAAAAGAGCCTCCGCGTCTAGCTTGGCCTCCTCCTCCTCCGCTTAAACGCGCTAGCTGGAGGTCCAG